TCCAAGGAAGTGGGGAGCAAATCCCCCTTATCCCACTTTTTGGGAAAGGCCTCCCAAAACAGAAGGAACCTGGACCACTTTTATCTGTTCTCCTGTGGCCTAGGCCAGAGCCTAGGGCGGGCAGGCAGGCATGGCACAGGTGGGACCTGCCCCCAGCCTGCTGCCATGCTCTGTGCCCTTGCCTCTCTGGACTCTCTGCACCAGCCCTAGGCTACTGAGCCACAGGCCCTTCTCATGCCCTCCCTAGAGCTTTGGTGCATCTCATCCCAACACCTTAGCCTCTGTCTCCAGGGAAATGGGAAGTGGAGCCTCCTGGCTGAGAAATTGTTTTGCAAAAGGATCTATTTTTATATGAATTTTTTTTTTTTTTTTTTAAGAAAAATAACTCTTCCTTCCTCCTTTCCCCTCCATAATATAAGAGGCTTTGATGGCAGGTTCCAGAGTCCCTGGGATTTCTCCCCACAAGCCTCAATTCTGAACAAGCCCCTGGACCTCCACCTCAGCCCTCAAGCCTCTGGGCCCTTGAGGCCAGTGCAGACTCTCTCTCCCAGCATCTGACTCTGGGGCAAGGGGAAGCTCTTCTCTTGTTGAGCTGGACCAGGCCTAAGAGTAGTGGGAGCTCTGAAAGGACAGAGTTTTTATAAATTTAATATATTTATCAAGCCAAACGTGCAAATGCTAACTGGCCACTCTGGAGCAGTGCGCACAGGCTGTGCCCCACCCTGCTCTCTTCTCTGCAGTGGGCAGGCCAGACTCTTTGGCGGTCCCAGCCACAGGAAGCTCAGATTCTCCGGCCAAGGTGACACTTTGCCCTCCTGTGCTCCTTTCAGCTTCCCACCCCTGGGAGAGAGAATGGCACTGGTAGGACCTGGCGCAAAAGTATAGTTATTAGAGCAAGGGGGAGCTTAGGAGACCTAAGGGCGCCTGCAGGGAGGCCTTGAGGCCCGGAAGGAGGGTTCTAGTTGTTAGAGCCTGTGTGTGGAGGGGCCACAGCAGCTCCTTTGCACTATTTCTGGGAGGACCCGTGGTGCAGGGGCCTGCCGCTCCCCTAGGTCCCTCCTCCCTGCTGACACCTGGGGCTTTGACCCTTTCTTTTTTAATCTACTTTTGCTAAGATGCATTTAATAATAATAATAAAAAAAAAGGGACAAAATGCAAACCTCTTCCCCTCACCTCTTGGGCTTCTGGGATGTCATCACCTCCAGTTTGTTGGGTTTGTTTCCAACTGTTAATAAAGCATTGAAACAGTACTGCCTTACAGCTTTATTTGTGAATTTCTGAACTATTTGTCTTCACTCTCATCCAGCCTTCTCCACTCTTGTCCTGCCTCAAGCCCGACTGACCTGACAAAATCATCAAAAGGGTGCCGGCACCTTCACGTGCCGGACACTACGGTTGGGCGCAGGGCTAAAACTGATTCATACATAGTGGCTTCTGTCCCGCCCTTTGCCCTCTGTAAAGGAGTAGGGCCAGCCCCAGTTCAGCCCCCTACCCTTCCACATTGCTGCCTCTTGGAACCCTTTTCTTGGATTCAGTTCTGGGACCCCACCTCCCCATAACCCCAGACTTCACGTGCAGTTTCCTGGCAGTACCTGTGCCTCTTTTGCTAAGGGAAACCTATGACTGCCATTCTCCCGTATTCCCCTCCCACACTCACTTTTGGTGTCCACAGACCACATTCCAGGCTAGGGCTTACCCTGGGGTGGAAACCTGAGCCTGCCCAGCAGAGGTCAGAAGACAGAGGTCATGCTCCAGGTGACTTGCTGCTCAGAGCCAGACTTGTTTGAGCACATTGTGACCTGCACAAAGAAATCTCACAAACCAGGTCCAGAACAGACAGGGAAGGGCTTGGAGAGGAACCACAAACCCATTTGGGCAGGCTCTGGAACTGGAAATAAAAGCCTCTTAAGTAGCCCTGGAGCCTGTGCAGCTGCCTCCATAGTACGGCTGGGGATGCGGAGGTGGGTTCCCTGCCTCCTCCTTCCCCACCCCCAGAGGCCACGCGTTTCTGGCTTAGAGCTGTATAGGCACACATACCAATTAGGGGACCGACCAACCACAGCTGCTCACGCGCTCTGCCAGTCTCCTGCCGTGCCTGGAATAGAACCCAGGCGACCGGCAACCCACCCTCTGCAGCCTGGCTCTCGGAAACAAAACCCTGCTTCCATCTCAGCAGCCACGCACACCACCCTTCCTCCCACGCAAGAAAGCCGCCCCCAGACGCCTACCTAGTTGGAAGGCTTGGTTTCCATGACAACAGACTTCAGAAGCTGGCAGACCGCTTGACCGGCTCTGGGAGAGTACAGAGGACGCCCAGAGACAGCCACCCCCAACCCTGCGGTTGGGCATGCCCTTGCCCTCACCGACCCCCCTGAAAACCCCAATGGGTCTGTCTTTATGTCCTTCCGCCCCTTCCTCCCACTCTGTTGCCTGCAGCTTCTTTGGCGGCAGCAACCTCGAATCCCTCCTTGCTTCCAGGAGGCTGGAGGAGGCCGGAGACGGGCTAGGCGAGAAGTGAATGGAAAGCACGGAGAGAGGGAGAGAGGAAGGAGGGAGGGCATCTGCGCCTGCGGGCAATCTTATATCCATCTTGCCCCTTCTGTCCCCTTGACACCGCCCGCCTCCCCCACCCCTACACATGCATTCCAAGCCCCCTGGGAGGGAGGGTGGGGGAGGCGAGGGGTGTGGAGGAGGACTGGCAGAGGAGAGTCCACCCTCCTCCCATGAAGCCTGGCAGGGCGCTCGGGGTGGTCATTTTAGCAGGGAAGGGGCGGAACTCAGGAAACGGCCCCTCTCCAGCTCTATTTGCCAGCCCGCGCCGCCCCCTCGCCTGGGTCTCCTCTTCTGCCTGGAGACGGCAGCGAACAGACAACGGAACCCGCGGCCGCACGCTGCCACGTCGCGCTCAGAAATCCCCTCCCCCATAGCGGACCCGCAAGCCGATTACACACACGGGGTACAGATCCACAAGCACCATTACGGTCAACGCACACCATTATAATATGCACGACGGTGTTGCCGCATTTAACAATTATACACAGACTCTCGGGCACTGACCCCAAACCAACACGCAACACAATAATCGCCTCCCATCCCGCTCGTCTTCCAGCATACAACTCTGAGCTCATCACTTCATCCACACATGCCAGGAGCCCCCATCTCTTACATAGAAACAGTGAACCTTTCAGAAGAAATCTTTTAATTTTTTTCAAAGAAAAAAAGCCATATAAATATTAGAGTATAAAACTTGCGTGAGACACAGGAAGGGGGTGGGGTTGGGAGCTACGTGACTATGCAAAGAGAAGCGCTTAGAGGAGTCAGGACACGGGAGGGGGTCGCCGCAGCGCGTGGACACAGCACAAAACACAGCACGGGCCGCCGCAGGCAGATTCGGGGACAGACGGCTGCGTGGAGCCCGCCGCCCGCGGCCCACTCGCCATTACGGAAAAGCACGCCGCACTATACACTATTGGCTATTCTACACCAGCCAAAAGAGGGGGTGGGGGCTCTACACCACTGCAAGGGCCGGGTGGGGTTCTCGCGAAGCCCCGCTGCGTGAACGGGACGGCGGGGGCAGAAGGGGTGGACAGAGGAAGATCTATGCACAAGGAGGCACTGGGGGACTTTAACCAGGCTCTGGCCACCAGGGATCGGACTGGGGGCCTGGGCAGTGGCCTTCACAGAGACGAAATGGCACCTGGTGAGGTGAAGGACTGGGGCTGCTGGATGCAGGGGCCCTGTGGAGAAGCAAGCCCTGATCCTGGGCTGACACTTTCCACTTGGTCCCTGCTCTAGCTCCTTTCCTTCCCAACCCAGGGACCAAAAATGGTCCAGCTGGCCCTCCCTTCCTGCTGGGGCCACACTGATCCTTCCACCAGCAGCACCTCTGGAGTACCCAGCACCCACAGAGGCCCCTCTGACCTCTCCAGGGGACCTGGTCCCAAACCTGCTCAGAGCTTCCTTGGACCATAATGCCAGTTTAAATCCATTGGTGCCCGTAGCTCAGCCCACCGCTGGCTGCCTGGGCTGCCCTGTATATGATAGATGAGGGTCCAGCCTGGTGCTTGGCTTATGGCTGGAATTTGGGGATCTGGTCAGTACCCTGGGGGCATACAGAGCCTCCTGCAAGACCCTGTTAACTGATCGATCAAGCTTTGTCCATCCCCCCCATACATACACACACACACACACACACACACACACACACACACCCTTCCCTTCTTTATCTTACCACCCCATACTGTCTTAGAACATGCAGTGAAGTCTCTTGTTTGGGGAGGGGGAAGTCACAGCATGCAGTGGGAACATTAAACAATGAAAACCAAAACAAAAGACTGGTCCCCAGGGTGTTGGGAAGAGGCATGGTAGCAAAATGCCCTCCCTAAATCCAGCAAGCATCAGTACCATGGGAATGGTGACCATATCTCCCAAAACTTGAGCTTGGTCTCAGGTCCTGGAAGGAGGTGAAGGGATTGGCACCAAACCATGCTTTGGGGGAAGTCTGAGAATTGAAGGAGAGGCCAAGAGGTCATGATGCCCTTCCAACTCTTCAGAACTATGAGCCTTTTTAGGTCACCAGGTACCTCAACACCCCCAAACAACTTAAGAAAGAGGAGCTGTTGAGGAGGAGGGTGGGGTGGGTCGGGTAGGAGGGAGGCAGGGGATGGATGGGCCCGATTGAATTTGGAAGATGGAGGAGTTCAGCTGTAACTGAAAGGGGTGTGATAAATGGTGTCTACACTAACCCACTACCCCCATGGGCACAGCAGTTGATTGGATGGGGGTTCCCAGCAGAACTCCCTTTGCATATTCAATCCCCTGAGGGCAGAGGGGGGGTGTTGACTGGGCACTTGTTTCTGTTTCCCAAGGGGAGCATGGCCTGGGCCCCTACCAGTATCCTGGGGGTGAGCCCTGAAAATCCGAGGCCTGGGCACAGGTAGGGAGAGGCTGGGCTGGCTGGGGAGGGAGGCTGCCTGTGGCTCCAAGGCCTGGCCTCCGCATTACTTCTTCTCCTTCTTGCCCGACTTCTTCTTGTTGCCGTTGCCACCTGCCGGGGCCTTGCCATCTCGCTTGCCAGCTGCGTTGGTCAGAGTGGCATTGCTGCCGGGGATGTAGACGTTCTGGCGGTAGTCGGGCACGTGCTGCAGGGTGAACTGGGGTCCGTAGCGGGCACTCAAGCCCATGGTGCCGGCACTCCCTCCCAGGGTGGAGCTCCCATCAGCGGCTTCTGCAGAGACAAGGGAAGGTCAGGGGCTAAACTTCAGGGTCCCCAACAGTTACTCTCTTATAGCACAAGCAGTCATAGCACTGGACACACCATCCCACCCACAAGGGGTAGGGCTAAGAGGCTCTAGAGTGACCACCTAGGTTTCATTCCTAGTTCTTTTACCTACTAACTGTGATCCTAGTCAAGTGTACCTAACCTCCCTATGTCTCCTCAGTTTCCTGAACTGCGGATAATAATAGTACCTATCTCTTCCGGTTTTCGTGAAGGCTAACCAAGATTACATATGTAAAGCACGTAGACTAGTGACTTCAAACATGCTAGCTGTCATTTCTCTCAGGGCTGAGACACTGCTCTCAAGTCCTTGCCCTAGCCCTTCTCCAGGCAGCCTCTCTGGTCTCCACACTAGACCACAGACTCCTGGGCGGCCAAGACCATGGTTCGTGCAGGTTCCCATCCTGTTCCACCCAGTGCCAAGCACAGACCGGGCATTGAGTCGTTCTCTTACGAGTTAGGAGTAGGTGCTTTTCCAGGGATTCATTTCGTAACAGCAACCAGTGCCTACTGTGTGCCAAGCACCTTGCTAGATGTTGCACATGCATGACGGCTTTTTACCTCAACTCAACACTCCAGGGACGTGTGTGCTCTTATCCCCGCTTTACAGATGAGAGAAGCAAGGGTCAGAGAAGGTAAAAGACTAGCCCAAGGCCTACCAGCCAGGACAGGTGAGAGCAGGGGTGAGGCCTAAGTGTATCTTAAGTGTATGCTGTAGGGTATGGTCACCACCACCACCACCAGAGGCCTGCACCTCATCGCTGCTCTGAGGGTACAGGAGGGGGAGAGAAGATGATGATCCCAGGACCAGATGTCTTAGGTACAATGTAGGCACAGGCTCACAATGTCAGAGTAGGTGACATCAGAGAGAGCCCGTAGCCCAACTTCCCATCCTGCACAAGAAGAAACTGGGGTCCAGAGAAGTGCAAATTATGACCCTGGCTCAGTGTCACCTGGGGGCTTGTGAGAATCACAGACTCAGAATCTGCATTTTAACAAGATCTCCAGGTAGGGACCTCCCTGGTGGTCCAGTGGGTAAGACTCCGTGCTCCCAATGCAGGGGGCCTGGGTTCAATCCCTGGTCAGGGAACTAGATCCCGCATGCATGCCGCAACTAAGACCAGGCGCAGCCAAACTAAATAAATAAATAAATATTCAAAAAAAAAAAAAAAAAAA